CTGACTGAAATGGAGCTTGCTGTGTGTTTTTAACGTTAACGTAAGACCTGAGCTTGACCGAAGTCCTTCTCTGGCTGAATGTCCAAACATAAAGTCACGTTAGGTTGCTAACTAGCTAGCGTTAACTAGCTGACTGCCTTTTCAGATATTCGCAGGAATTCTGTATGCTAGTCGTTGTGAGCTGAGGTTGAATGCATTCCCATAACGTTACATGCGTTCATGGGCAGTAAACGGCCAGGGTTATTAGCTCGCTCCTTTTTTATATTATTTTATTACGCAGTAATAAAATGCTAGCTTAGCTAGCGCCTAGTTTATCTGGGGCATTAGTGTAACGTTGAATGAAGCGAACGCACGTCACTTAAATTTATGAAAAAGCGTAAAACTGAATCAGAGGATGACAGTAACACCAACATTCATGTTCCAGTCCTGCAATACGTGCACTGTATGTCCAAGAGTTTGTTCTAAAGAGTAAATTCAACCACTTCAAGGTGGACCTATTGCTGACGCAGGTGCCACTGAATACATCTTGTACATCTCCATAGAAAACCATCGACCATTAGCTAGAATGAGTCCGAGTCACCGTTCCCAGTGCCAAATGTTAGCTGGAGAGGTGTAGCTTAAAGCCATGGGTTGTGGCACAGAGGCGTTCTCTGGAGTAACGTTAACGGGGCGTTTTTGATCTAGAACTAATCATCCAACATCAGTACCCGACCTCACTTAAGCTCCTGTAACTAAAAGCAATCAAATCCTTACAGCAATGTCCCATGTACATTTAGCCTTCCCAGAAGACTAGAGGCTGTTACTGCGATGAAGTGGGGGGAGGTTGTTTGCAAACCTTTGGACACAGAGTGTATGTTTTATAGTAAACATTTTTTATAGTGTTTATAGTATATTAAGGATACACGGATAGGTTACCTTTTTTATGTGAGAATTATAGACCCTTAAGATCTTTGTATTACTGAGAAAACTAGCTTTATAGGGACATAGTGTATATGCATTGGGATGGGAACCACAAGCACAGTCTTACATATCAAAATGTCCAAAGTATGCTGAAAATACAAATAATGAGAGTTAAATCAGACTTATTTTTTCAAAAAGATTACTGCGCATCATTCTACTCATTTTGCTTTATTAACGTGCGTGTGTGTGTGTGTGTGTGTGTATATATATATATATATATATATATATATATATTCTTCTTCTGGAATTTTTGTTTTGCCTCTGACTTTTGGCACTTTTTAGCAGGGGCGAGTCTTAGAAGAATGCCGGAACATGTCGTACTGACTGCTGCCTTGGCTGCAGTGTTGTATCTGACGTTATTAGCAATGTTTGTCATATTCCTTTTCAGTTTTTAATGTAACCTGTGTTTATGGGTTCTGTGTAAAATGATATAACTGTTATTTTGGGCATTAAAGAACATAAGCTTGTTGTTTATGAATGAATAAAGCTGTACCACCTTTTGAGTTTGCAGGTGCTAGTGCTGTGTAGCCTAGTAATGTTCTCCAGTGTCACTCTGAATCAGTTGACAAGTAGAGAGAACAGGTGAACGCCCATGAAAATGTGCTAAAAGAGCGAAAAATAAAACAAAGAGCATTTTCAGAGGCAAAAAATGTATCAGCAAAATTAGGAAATAGAAAAAAAAATTGAAAGCAAAGACTGGAAAATTAGTAATACATTTATGTCAGAGAGAGTGAAAATGAGTACCAAGCTTTTTGTAAATTTTATTTATCTCTCATTGTTTGAATTGACAACATATTTTGGACATTTTGATACTCAACATTTTGCTTGTGGACTCCATTTTATGTGGAACTTTTGACACAAAATTGACTCCATATGAATCTCTCTTGAAATCTCTTGGCACTTACCTGTCCAGGCACCACTACATGCTCACATGTAATGGTAATCACAAGTACTGATGAACTTTTGAAATATGTACGTTTAGCCCGATTATTCTGATTCAGAACACATCTAAAATAGGCTAGAATTAACAGATGACAGCTCATTTGCAGATTTCATAGCCTCCAGATTTTTTCTTCTTATTATTGGTATTATTTTATATCTTACATGAATGTGACTAACTCACATAAACAAGGCCCTCCTCTGAGAAAATGGAAAAAAAAACATGAGTTTTGGATTCAGAGAAACTATTCATTGAGTATATTAAGCCATTAACCACATACACCATCTGTGGTTTGATTTCTTTGTTTTGGAGGAACATTTGGGCTTGTGACTATTAGTTCTAGACAACTGAACTAAAATGTTTTGGGACCAGTCCCAAAAGTTCATATTGACCTGGTAGTTAATTGCCAAAGTGTCAAGTGCCCACAGTGTAGCATGCGTTACTGGCCTCACAAGACCAAAACCTAAAGGGCAGCACATTGAAGCACTGGAAAAGCATGTTCTTGGACTGTTTTGCATTTATATCACACAGTAAAGTGTTCATTGCCAGCTGTGAAAATCACCACTTTGCTTAAATTACTTGGTCACAAATTCTCAGTGCACTCTTTTTTTGTCCTTCCTAAGTTGTATCCTTCATAAGGGGATATAATACTGCACTGTACTGTACTGTATTGTGACCCTTTCTCTGTGGACAGACTCTGTAATCATTATATCATCAACACACACGCTGCCCTTGGATTATTTACCAAAAACCATTGTTCTTTTCCTTTTTTCTTTGTCTGACCCCATGGCACACGATGTTTCAAATGTCAGAGACATTTTTTTGGATGAAACAGTTGGAAAAACATGTAAACATCATTAGATAAAGCCTTAGCCAGCTAAGACATAACAGTCTTACTGTGGCTCCGCCATGGCCTAAGAGAACAGGAATTAAAGGGCCGTATCCTGAATTTTCTTGAATATTATTTCTTCTCCTGAGGCCGCTTTTGCTGTGTGTTTGATGATATATAGCATTATTATGATAGATTGTGTCACAACACAATACAATATGCTTTTCTGAACATGTCATGCATATTGTCAATGCTTGTACAACACTGACCAGCTGCAGGTTTCATTATAAAAAGAGCAAAATTAGTCCTCTTTGATTGGATTTAGTGCGCAGTATGTGAAATATTGAGTAGAACTCACTGTATCCACAGTTTTTGATAGTGTTTTTTTAAATGTAGCACTACTGGTACTTTTTTCTTCGTTTCAGCTTATCAGACGTCTGAAAAAATAAATATCATGGCATATTGTGTATCGTGAAAACTTCTCCAAGTATTGTGTTATTATATTTTCGCCATATCGCCCACCTCTAGTGTGTGTTTATTATAAACCAGTCTCTCAACCCTAGACCTGGAGTCCCACTGGCCCGCACTTATTAGTGTTTTACCTGATACAACTGATCAGCTCATTAACAGCCCATTATTGAGTTAAAGTGGGTGTGTTAAAGTGGAAAAAGCACTAAAATGTGGACAGTGGCCTCTAGGACAAGGGTTGAGAAACACTGTTATACACCACAATCTTAATAAATTGTATGACCATTTTCCAACCACTCTTTATCTTTGGTATTAAACAGCCTGTGTTTGTGACTCTACCTCTAAAACTGATATATGTAAATGGCCTCTTTTCTGATTGGCTTCCCTGTATTGTGGCTCATTCAAAAGGCTGTCTGGGCTTCAGTGTGAATGTAGGCTCGGTAGGTGGATATATATGAAAACTATTGCATTTACAGGGTATCGCAAAAATATGATTTCCATATGTAGACTGTGTGGACTGGGAAGTAAATGGTATGTTTTGAAACTTCAACAGTGTTTACACTCTTTTGCTAAACATTTGGTTCTGCTGATTATGGACTCTTTGCGTTTACTTTATCAGATGCTGGAAGATGCATATAAACAAAAGTTACATACAGAATCTAATTATAAGTGGAGAATTATAATAATAGATGTGAAGGCCCCCAAAGTATGTGTTTTTCACCGCAAACACACATATGGGGCCTGTAATTGACTAATTATTATTTTATTCTGGTTCTGTAATGTGGGAAGAAGCAGTACTTCATTATGCTGTTGTTTACCATGCTAAAGTAATAACTTTCTTTTGCTTTTCTTATTTCTTCCCATTTTATTTGTTCCACTTTCTGTTCTATAGGTCTCTTCGGCCTGCATTGCCTAATCTGCTTTAATATTTAATACATAAAGCTGAAATCCCAAAGCACAACAGACATTTTATGTCTCTTTAATTACATTTGAGAAGCTTAGTGTAATCTATAGGCCTGTTGAATGTTGTGCTGTTAGAACTGCCATATCGTGACAGTTGCAAAACTCTGAAGAGGTATTTATGATTCTCCACCAGCTGAGGTTTTTAGCTTATGCGAACTTGGGAAGTTATCTGTTGCTGATCCGACTGCTTTTCTGATTTACCCAAAAGCAGATGGATATGAATCTGCATGTTGATTGTTTTGTTGTAATTATACAATGCTGTTAGCAGATTTTAAATATGTGGCAGTGTTGTGTGTTAAGCTAGCTGTTATTGCAAATATAACAGCAGTAAACACTCCAGATTTCACCACATGTTGCTGCATCAAACTCTGAATCAAATGGCAGCTACAGACTACACAACAGAAAGAGAGAGAGCTTTTTAGAATGAATGGCTCTGCCAGTGGCTTCTTATGTGAATCTGTTATGAATGTTAATGAACAGTTTACCATCAGATGCCTCTCACACTTGTCATGATTGGTAATGAGCTTTGTCTCTGCCAGCCCCTGCATGAACTCCTAACCTCAAGCTGTAAACATGCTTTAGTTGTGTAATGTCTGTTGTAAAAATAAACTTGAATGATGAATAATGGCATATAGGAGTGTAAGGGCTTGTGAGAGTGTAGGTATGATTGTGTTTGTGAGTGTATATGTGCACACAGGTAATCTCCTCCTCAACATGCAAGGTTCTGTAGGTATGTGTGGTATGCATAATGGTATATTCTTCAGAAAGTAAAACACTCTTGGTTTGCATTTGTATCTTTGTGTGTATACTTGCCTGCTTGACTGTCCTCTCCTCCTGTAGGTAAGGGTCCTGAAACTCTGTATGCTGGTCAGAAGCTCAATGATAACGAATGGCATTCTGTGAAAGTGGTGCGCAGAGGCAAGAACCTGCAGCTTTCTGTGGACAACGTTACTGTGGAAGGTAACTGACTGACCTGAGCTCATTACCACTTCCTTACTGGCACAGTGAAGTCAAACTTTATTCCTGTGTAGCCACAGAACTGCAGAGTTGAGAGTTTCCTCAGCCCTAACTCACCAAATTCATTACATGGCTTCATGATTTGATGGTGAGTTGATTCAAGCAACAAGAACAGTAAACTCTGCAGTGTTATGGTCCTCTAGGGCTGTGGAGAAGAGTATGTGTGATTATCATATATTGTCATAGTGTAGTCTGATTAAGACTAGTTGAGCATTGCATTACATTATTGGTTCAGTACGGCATCATACTACAATGGATCCCGTTCACTTTGTATGGCCAGTCTTCTGATAAGCTACTCCACAATGCATGATGGTACTAGTGCACCGAATTTGGTGTGAGAGCATTGAACAGAGATTAACTTAATGCAAATTAACCTGGCCTATGTGATGCATTTACCTGTTCAGAGGCCAGTAGGTGCTTGCAAGATTGTTGTATATACCGCAATATGTGGAACATTTGGTCTGATCAACATAATTTCCAGCACAACACTGAAGATGAGTTAATTAGAGTCCAAGATGAGTAAAAACAGTAAATGTACATGTATTTATGCACTAAATTGTAAGATCCAAGCATGGATACAGTTTGTTAGATGTTAATATCCTTACTGAAATAAACTTATGGTGACTGCATGTGTCTAACCAAGTTTGTATTCTCCCCCTAAAATGTGTATCTATCCAATTTAATAAACAATTTGGAAATTATTCATTTAATTATACAGTACTGTGCAAAAATCAGAGACCACCCTTCATTTATTTAAATTTCAGTCACAATGGCCATTAATTTGTCAGCATAAGGAAAAAAGCAGAAAACAGATATTTAACAGAAAATTACACAGAAACCACAACTAATTAGAGTATAACATTTTTAACAAAGGCAAAGGGTGGACAGTATTTAGTATGTCCACTCTTTGCGTTTATTACAGCTTCTGTTCTTTACCAGAGACTCGCTTTTAGTTTTTCAAAAAAAAAAAAATCTGCAGGGCAGTATTTTTCCACATCTCTCAGCCTTAGAAGTTGTATTTTGTGCTTCTTGTGATTCAGTTAACCCTACCTTCATTCAGTGATGTTCTGGGGTGGCCAGGCCGTTGTTCTGACTATACCAGCAGCTTCTGTATTTGATTTGCAGATTTTCTTACGTTGTCAGTTGCAGCTTCTTGACAGCTGCACTTTTTTTTTTTAGACCAAAAGCATTGAGAGTTTCTTCTCACAGTGAAAGGATGAACAGAAATGCCTGTGGACTTTACAGATCTGGAGCAAGAATAAAGCTTGATTTCTCTCAAAGATGACAGCTTTAAGTACTAATAGTAACAGTTTTGGTGGTCTACCAGGTTCTGCACAGTTGTTAGGAGTCACATTTTCTCTTTTAATACTTTTTTGAAGTCCAGTTTTGGAAAATCTTGTATTTTCACTTAGTAACTTTCTGTTTATGCAAGTGGAGTGTCTTATATCTAATCACCTCAGAAATAGCTTTTGAAAAATGAAGACATTTTAAATAGTAAATTCAACGACTTGTATTTACTGAATACAGTAGCTTGTACTCAGTGGCTGTTTTGACTGGAAGTTAAGTAAATGATAGGTCGCTTACTTTTGCTTTTTAGTACACACTACACTGGCTTTGTGATTATTTAGAAAATCAAAGTGTTAATTACATTTAGTAAGTATTGATTTACAATTCAGTTAATTTCAATCGGATTTTGCATGGATCAGCCTTTTAACACCCACATGCAGCTGTATAGAGAGTTTGGAGTATTTACATCAGGTGCCGTGCTGCACCGGTGAATGAACTGCCCTATGAACTGAGATTCTGGAAACTGATGGTTACAATTTTTTTCATGGTTGTCTGAGCATCAATCCAACATCCATGCTCAGAACTACTAATCAGATCGATTTTAGGACATGACTCACTGTCTTGCCAAAATAGCACACACACATGCACAAAGCCGTGATAAGCCACTTCATCCCTATGATTCATTCAGAGAGGTATGATTCAGAGTGATATAAAGGCATCATTACAAAATCCCCCTTGTGAATTTAGCTTCTTCGTTTGGATAAACTCCCCTTCCTTACTCCCACCAGGTCAGATGACTGGTGCCCACACGCGCCTGGAGTTCCACAATATCGAAACGGGCATCATGACGGAAAGACGTTTCATCTCCGTCGTCCCCTCCAACTTTGTTGGGCACCTACAGGGGCTGACTGTCAATGGCGTGCCCTACCTGGACCAGTGCAAAAATGGTGACATCTCCTACTGTGAACTAAACGCCCGTTTTGGAATGCGCCACATCATTGCTGATCCGGTGACCTTCAGGAGTAAAGGCAGCTATTTAGCGCTAGCTACGCTGCAAGCATACGCCTCCATGCACCTTTTCTTTCAGTTCAAGACCACCAGCTCCGATGGCCTGATCCTCTACAACAGTGGAGATGGAAGTGACTTCATCGTGGTGGAGCTGGTTAAAGGGTGAGATTCAGTTTCTCAGTTTGGGTGTGATATATGCAGTGTGGGGAAGTATCAACAGCCAATATTTTATTTGCAGCTGAATGGGCGAATGTAATTATTATTATTGGCCCAATGTTGGAATTGTAGCCTATAATTACATCCAATAACTTGGCACCATGTTTGTGCTCTCACACACATTGATGATGGTGGGCATTTCCTTTCTTTCTTTTCAAACTAGCTGTGATGGATAAACACCACACGTGAAACAAGTTCATTGTTCAGGCAGGAACATCTCTGATATGCCAATAAGAATCATTTGGCAAGACTCTTAATAGTACATTCACATACAGTTGTAATTCCCTCTGGACAAGACCATCTGCTTAATACGTTAACGTGAAAGTTTACAGTAATGGTCGTGTTTGATTTGGCTATGTCATGTGTACGTATAAAAATAAATCCATATTTTAACTTGTCTTATGCTCACTGCTCTTCATTAGGCCTGTAGTGTAAACACGTAAGAAAGTAAAATGATTATTCAATAGGGTGGGTATCAGTCACAACAAAGTGGTTGTTATCAGCCCAGAAATACCGTACCGGTGCATTCCAAACTGATACGATTAGATTCTTTGAGGAAATTTAATGACACATAAACAGATGATGAATCACTAACTGTAACTGTTGGCTGCTGTATCTCTTATCTCATTGGTATAATAATCATTGCTCATAGCTTTGCATTTGGTGTAGATAATGAGATACTTTCCTCTTTTATCACAGCAGAACAGTGTTTGGTTATTGCTGTTGTGGGCAGGTTATATAGTTAATATTGTGAAAGTTTATATTAAGGTGAAGTGAATGTGAACACAAACATGATCTGTATTTAATCATATTGTTGTTTATCCTTTCATGTAGAAAATCATTGTTTTTCCTTTCACATATTTATGAAATAAATGTTAAAGTAAGTTGGCCAACATTGGCATCTTAGAGAAAAGAGCAAAACTTACTATTCATCTAGAGAACACTGGTTGTTGTTACTATACAAAAGAAGGAAATCTTTTTTCTCCCCCTGAAGGGTTCAGACTGAGGTAGGTGAAGCTGGCATGATATTTGATAAACACTGTAGGTTTAAGGCTGCCTTTATTTGGTACAGAAAAAGGTATGATTGCGAGGAGGAATGTCACTGTGTTGTAAGGCCTCAGGCAAATGAATACTGCAGTCATTCCATTCTGAGAGAGAGAGAGAGAAGAAACAGAGAGGGAGCAACATTTTTTAAATTTAAATATGAATATGATCAGGCAATATCCCTGGACACCCTACGGGTTCTTGAAATTGATTCATTTATTTGTTTATTGATGCACCTGCTTGGCTCAAAATGCTGTTTACGTGTTGTTCACCACCCAAACTCTCACTGACATTGGACTTCTTTCTGTCACAGTTCCTATATCTTCTACCTTAGTATTGTTTTTACAGGTGGATAGGCCATAAAGTGTGAACTACATTGTATGTAGTGTTTATCAGGTGGTGATGAGGGGCTGGACTTTGCTTTGTCACTGTTCTTTTCTTCTTCAGCTTTCTGTTGCATGTAACAGTGGTGCTTTTATGTGAGAACAGAACAAAATGTGCTCTGTTGGGAGCAGCACAAATGTTGCCTGGTATCTTTCTGTTTGAAGAGAGCGTCAACATTCCCATCCAGCAGCATCATTCTGACATATTTAGAGCCCAACTCTTTATCAACCAACAAGACATTTGAATGTTTTCTGAACTGACAGATTGTTCTCTTATCCTGAAAAAATAAAACACATTCGCTTTAAGTACTTAAATGTATTTTTTTTCTCCTTCCATTCCTTAGGTCATCCATGCACATTTTAAGCTTTCTTACCAATCCTCAAAAGAGTAATGTTTTTTGAGACATCTTGCCTGAACCCATCAAAAAATATGGTAGCAAACAAATGATACAGTGATGTTTTGAAATGCAGCCTGAGTTGCTTATCTTTGTAAATCATATTTTTACCTCTATCCTTGAATAACTCCAGATCTGTTTGTGTGTTAAAGGACCATCTAGAAGTAGTGCAATTCATTGCTTCTTATTTTTTTTCCCTTAGCTCTGAGGTAACAGGCTGTCATTCTTCTTTTCTCAGATACGTCCACTATGTGTTTGACCTGGGGAATGGACCCTCTCTGATGAAGGGCAACTCAGACAAGCCATTGAATGACAACCAGTGGCACAATGTGGTGGTTTCCCGCGACACCAACAACATGCACACACTCAAGATCGATTCCCACACCGTCACCCAGCACTCCAATGGAGCACGCAACCTGGACCTTAAAGGTACGTTCCTTGCCAGACTGTGTGTCACTAATAACAGACATGTTTGTTGAGCTTAACGTAAATGAAGAGTATATACATATAAAAGGGGCCTCATGAGGTTGTGTAATTATATGCCACTAATAACACATGCAGGTGGGTGTTCTCACAATTCAAAACTTGACTTGTAGTGCAAGATACAGCAAATTATGAATGTGTCATCTGAAATCATTAAATTATGATCATCTTAAATCGAGCCCTAATAATACTAAATAACAAATTGCTACACATTTACATTATTTAGGAGATGCTCTTATCTAGAAGGCTTACAAAAATGCCCTGTAGTCAGCTTGGAAAATGTACCCTGAACAAATAGGCCATAGTCTAAAGATAATCTTGATATATTACACTGACAGAGACGGGAGTCACTGCTGATACCTACAGAGATACACAGTACACAGCGATTAAATGAAAGATCCATGCTCATTTACATACATACATACATGGGTATGCATGTTATTTAAATGTAATTTATATCATTTGAAAGTGCTAGCTGTCAGTTAGGCTTGTGTCAAATTTTCATGGTGAGCTTATCAAATAAAAAGGTCCAAAATAGAATAAATTGTTGGTACATTCTTCTTTTGGTAGTTAAGAACATTTTTCCAATTCTCTTGTAAAGTTACTTTTTAGGAAGTTTTGCTCCAATATTGACAATATACACTCAATGAGCACTTTATTAGGAACACTGTGCTGATAGGTAGGGCCTCCCTTTGTTCTCAGAACAGCCTCAGTTCTTTGTGGCATGCATTCCACAAGATGTTGGAAACTTTTATTTGTGATTCTGATCCATTATAGCTTCATGCAATTCCAGTAGATTTTTCAGGTGCACTTTCACGCAGCGAATTTCCTGTTCTTTCATATTGCAAAGGTGATCTGTTGGATTCGGATCTCAGACTGGGAAGACCACTGAAGATCACTGAACTCATTGTCGTTTCCATTAAACCACTTTGAGATGACTTTTGCTTTGTGACATGGTGCATTATCATGCTGCACGTAGCCCACTCCCCTCAAGGGTTGACATGTTGTTCATTCTGAGATGCTTTTCTGCTCATCACAGTTGTACAGAGTGGTTATCTGAGTTACCATCAGCTCCAACCAGTCTGGCCGTTCTCCATTGACCTCTCTCATCATCAAAACATTTCCATCTGCAGAACTGCCACTCAGTTGTTGTGTTTTGTTTTTTTTTTTGTTGTTTTTTTTAATTATTGCACTATTCTGAGTAAACTCCAGAGACTGTTGTGCGTGAAGATCCGAAGAGATTTAAGAGAGTGTTTAAGAGAGTTAAACAAGCTTGTTTGGCGCCAAATCATGCGGTGGTTAGAATTACCGGGAGCAAATTTTTACCCCGTTCAGGTGGTTAATGTGGACATTACCTGAAGCTGCTCGCCCGTGTCTGAATGATTGTATGCAATACCACACCAGTGACTAATTGGATAATTGCATGAATGAGGAGGTATACAGGTGTTCCTAATAAAGTGCTCAGTGAGGGCACATGGGTCATTCTCCCATTGCAGGGGCAAATGGTGTCCCACTTTTAAGCCATGAAAATAAGCTGAAAATGACAATAAACCACGGAAAATTGATGTCAGTGTTTTATTTGTTCTGTTTCTAAATTACCCAACAAAACTATGATAATTCTTCTTTTTGACAAAAAACACCTTCTTAAAGCAGTTATTTCAGAGATGTTGAAGTATTATTTTTGTGAGAAACAACAGGTTTGATGTTTGTTTAATTTAAAGTGTAAACACACAGTGAAATTATTTTCTGTCCTGTATTAAAATTATTTTAAATACAACCCAATTTACAAAAAAGTTGAGATGCTGTGTAAAATGTAATAAAACAGAATGCAGTGACGTGAATATAACTCTATATTTACTTGAAAATAGTATGAAGACAACATATCAGATGTTGATATGCCCATTTTGTATTTTATGCAAGTAACATGACAAAATAAGACCTGGAAGAACATCTTACAATTAATTGGGATAACTGGCAATAGGTCAGTAACAGGTCAAATTACATATAACAAGAGCATCCCAGAGAGGCTGAGTCTTTCAGAGGCAAAGATTGGGAGGGGTTCACCGCTCTGTGAAAGGCTGCACAAGGAAATAGTGCAACAATTCAAGAAAACATTGCTTAATATAAAATGGCAAAGAACTTGAGGATTTCATCATCTGCGGTACATAATATAATTAAAAGATTCAAAGAAACCGGAGAAATCTGTATGCAAGAGACAAGGCCAAAAACCAGTATTGGGTGGCTGTATCTTTGGGCCCTGAGGCAGCACTGCATAAAAATAGGCACAATTCTGTAATGGAAATCACGGCATGGGCTCAGAAACACTTCTGAAAACCATTGTCTGTGATCATAGTTCAAGCATGCATGGGAAAACATTCCACTTTCAAAACTACAGCAATTGGTCTCCTCAGTTCCCAAACGCTTACATAGTGTTGTTAAAAGAAGTAGTGATGCAACACAGTGGTAAACATACTCCTGTCCCAACTTTTTTAAAACATGTTGCTGGTATCAAATTCAAAACGGGCATATATAAAAAAAAAAAGAAAAAAAAAATACAATTTCTTAGTTTCAGTATTTAGTATGTTGTCTTTGTTTCAATTAAATATAGAGTATAAATGCTTTGCATGTCATTGTACATTGTTTTTATTTACATTTTGCACAGTGTCCCCACATTTTTTTTAAAATGGGGTTAATATTTTTTGGGTGTCTCAAAGAAAGAAAAACTAGAAGTCCATGTTAATAGTATCTTTTATTTCTGATAAACTGTGCTAAAATGACAGCTTTGTGTGCCAAAAAATGTTAGCGTCAGTTATGCTACTCATTTAACAGTACATAATTTTAAAAAAGAATTAAATTAGCAGCACAAATGCACTATTTGTAATTTTCTACATACAATATGACCTTAAAACCAAAGTGGCAGTGGATTGTAATGAATAAAAGCTCACATTTTAGTCATTTTGTCAGTGGTATTATGGTCAGTGGTATTATGACTTTACTGATGTTCAATATGACAAACTACATTTTACACTTGACATATTGCAAATAATAATACTATAGGACAAAGACATCCCATTTGAAATCTCAAACAGCAACTTCCTCTATTGGCTTCTCTGTTTTCTGCTATGGCGGCTTGCGACTACTGAGTGCAGTTGGTGTGCTGCGTTCCACGCTACACTAACGACAGTACTTGTACATCATCTGAGTATTAACAGTACAGTATAGTTTCATTTCCCAGCTTGAACACATTCCCTGCACTAGATGTGACTAATACCTTACAGAAGAACTTGATTGGAGACACAGGGAGTGTCTCACAAAGGCATGATCTGTACAGCATCCAGTGATGTCTGAAGTATACTCTAGTCTTAATTGTAAGTCTCATACTCCAGATTATTGTCTCTTTTGGCTCACTTGCACGGCTGACAAATGCAAAAAGCCTTTTCTACTGAATATCCAAGAGGGTTTCAGTGATGCTCAAAGCTGAGTTTTTCATTATGGCCTGAAATGTATTTCTCTTTTGAGTAAGATTCACGATAAGTGAGAAGTCTTTGATTGTTGACCGCTAGATGCAGTACATCTGTGCTGATAAGTGCTAATGAAAGTTCGGTGTAACTTTTTACAGTTAAAAGTAAGACAGTCAGATAAAGAGATGAAAACCGGTTCCTTCATTAAATATTACAAGAATTCATCTAAGACTGCAAACCTATCTTAATACTTGTAAAAATAGACTATCATAATGTTAACCTGAAATTGGGTTGTCTTCACACACCATTGCTTTGCACAACCAAATCGGAAGTCACTTAATGCAGAACAGGGAGGGTGGAATTTACCTTCTGAATCAGAGCCTGGACTTACTAAAATGTCTTTACAGAGGCATTAGTAAAGATGGGGTGTGAATGTGTGTGTGTGTGTGTGTGTGTGAGACAGAGAGAGAAAGAGCAACAAAAGAGACAAAGGGATAGAGGAAAGAATAGGTGGGAGAGAGGGATTAAACAGAAATAGAAAGAAACTGGCGGAGTAGAAGAGAAAAGGAAAGTAGGAGAAAGGTGAGCAGGCAGTTATTTATTCACGATTATTATTCTGTTTGTTCAGCTTTTGAATGCATGCCTGCTCAGGAGGTGGTGGTGTGTGTGTGCACATGTTACTGTGTGTACCTGTGTGTATGTGTGTGTGTGTGTGTGTGTGTGCATGCGTTCAGGTCAGGGGGAAAATACTCGCTTGCTGTGCCAAGACAAAATTCACCAGCCAAACCCAGTGTGTGTGGACAGAGAGAGGAAATGAGGGCCCAGAGACAGTCTGGCAGCTGGAAGCGGATGCAGTCGTCCCTGTGCTGCTGCCCATCCTCTTCACCTTGAAAAATGAGTCTGTCCCTCATCCGGGCTAAACACCTGCACTCTGCCAGGGCCAGAAAATCTACGCTCATTTCAGCTCCAATTCTGTATTTTTAAATACCTGGTGGGGGGTCAGGTGATTGTATGAGTGGCAGTGGCCCACTTTCAGTTTAACATTATGAAACTCAGTTTATAAAATTGGTATTTCCTATTTAAAAAATTGATTGGCTGAGCCACATTTGAAGCTGTTATAAAATAATCAGTATCTGCATATATGATTAACTAAATTCTGAATTGAAAGAAAAAAATGTTTGTGATAAATGATTTATTGAATATTTGTGTTTTTTTATGTTGTGCTGCATTTTTCTAAAACAATAAGCTGTTCAAGGCCTAGCAGTACAGTGATTTTACTGCAGTTAACAGGATTTTACTTTAACACTCCTCAATGCGATAAATGCGATAAATTACTGTAACACATGAGCTCTTATTGCTTTATTTTTAAAGTCTTTAGATTTATTAAAAGTCGTTGATTTAAAGTTGTTAGATTATTTTTGTGTAACATTTAAGGAAGTATCACATTCACACTTTTCACACTTTTCATATCTCTTTACTTAGGAG